GTGACAAAAAACACAAAGATTTGGTATTTATATGTACTGAGAAACAGAAACCTAAAAGCCACTCATTTCCTTCCTGACAAATTTTACAGTGCAGTTAAGCTTTAGTACCAAAAAAAGTAAAAAGTGCAGCACAATCAAAATAAATTCTAATAATCAATTATACATAGAGCATTCTGCATTGGATCCAAACCTCTCTCACTTGTTTACTGTGGGAGTTTCTTTTCCTTTTCCCTTTCCTTTTTGTGCTTAATCTGGAAGATTTTCATTAGTAAAACATGAATTTTTTATATTCCGTTTTCTGCATTCTTCTCTCATGTTTTAGTTTCTCATCATTTAAGATAAGAGCAGTATCTACAATCACTCTCAAGCTTTTTCAAACCTCACAGAATAGGTTATAAGCCACATATTCACAATCATCATCCAGATAATTAGAATGTCTGTCTGTAAATATAAAAGCAGAAATGTTACCTCAGAAGAGCACTCTCTAAGGAGGGGGAACTTCAGAGTTCATAGGATTTGAAACTAAGCTCATATTTTACTAAGCAGATATGAAAATAATTTTCAGAACTTATTTTTATAGAATTCATATGGTGTAGAATGCACTTACAGAAAAGCTGCTCTGAAGGCCTTTTGTCTGAAAAGGGCCATTTCAGAAAAAGCTCTTTGATTCCTTTGAATGAGATGATGTTGTTAAAAAAAGACAACAAAACAAAACAAAAAAGAAAACTGTCAGGAAACACACATTATTATGCAATTAAATTACTTAATCACAATGTAGGATTTTTTGGGGGCAGTAAACCAAGCTATTTTCTGCTAAGTTTTCCCACAGCCACAACAGATTAGAGCCATTAGAGATCTAGGAGCTGAATCAAGACTCACAACCTGGTGCTCTCCTAAATGTGCAAAGGCAAAGTGGGTATCACACTGCAAATATAGTATAATAATAATGTATACAATACAATGTATTGTTACATTATAATAATATAATAATTTATACATGCAGATGCTGCATTGCCTGCAGGGAAACCAAAGTCCAGGGCAGAGAAGGGAGCAAGAAACCACGAAGGTCTAAAGAGGGCAAAATCCTTGACTTAACTTGAATATTTCTGAAGTATTAACCTTGCTACAAATCTCTCTCCCATACTTTTTAAGATGTAAACATTCACATCACTGACAATCCAAAGTACTATTGGTCAGCATAACGAGTATTAACATGAAATGTTACTGAATTTTATAAAGGCCATGTATAGACAGAATCACAGTTGATTAAACTGCACATGGGAATTGTCAGCCCCAGTTAGTTACACCAGTATCACAGTGGTTAACCCCGTGTTAACAACCCAGCTTGACAAGGGCAGATCCAGCACTGAACTGGCTCAGCCAATTTCACACTGCTATAGGAACAGTAGGTCAGCTCCAAGCTTCTCTCAGGAGTTCAATTGTGCTCAATTTGCAGAGGAAACAGACTGGAGCAACTTGTGACACCAAGTTTTAGAGAGTGCATGATTTAGAAACCCTTTCCATTTATCTGGAGATACTGCAAAAGTGAGGATTTATTCTGTTCCCCACCTAACAGAGGAACACAGGTTTCTACAGCGTCTGACCAAGACAATGGACAAAGGCCAGTTAACTTCAATATTGCAAAATCAAATACTTAATTCATCAGCTTGCCAGCTTACCAAACCTCAGCTGCCTGTGATGTCTACACAGATAAATGCAGACAGATAAGTAAATGCAAAGAAGTAAAACTATTTGCCTGTAGATGAGAAGATTTTATTAATCCGTCTTGATTTTTCCCACTACTTAACCACCAAGACATAAATTAACATTTGACTCTGCTGCTTTGTACAACTCATCCATAGCATGAAAGTCCAACTCCCAGTTTCCACCCCAGAGATCAGCTCTGAAGTCTGCCTGAAAAGAATATGCCTCTGTCTGATCTTTACTTGCCTAAGCACCAGCTGACTTCAAGCTCTTTTCATGCCTTTTTTAAACAAGTCTGAAAAGGTTTTGACATCACCACAATCATGAAATGAGAAACGTTGATCCCCCAAACAAAAAAAAAAAGGTGAGTTTTGCCAAGTAAAACAGAGACGCTTCTGTTGGCATGTTTTTAAAATTGACTATTCAAGATGTAAATCTGCATTTCATGGACTAAATGTTTGGCCTAAGTGTCAACACACACAGACTCTTTACCCTGCAAGGTAAATAACTTTTTTTTTTTTTTTTTGGCTGACTTCCTGCCACTAGTAGATTCCTTTTCTGATCTAAGTGAAAAATGTAGCAAGCCAGTATGCTTCCACAGGAAACACCAAAAAGCCCTCAGGATTTTCCACAATTGACCATTGGCAGTACTTCCGAAAACAAATTAGTAAACAAACTATCTTTCATATGGCAGAATGAAAATACAGTAACCTCAGATTTTCCCAGGCATCTGATTTTTAACTACCATTTAAATTCAGATTGGGCACTGGAGAAGTACCAGACACAAATGTCACCTCTGGGCATCCTGACTGGCCATGGCACCTGTACATTGTATGGGCTCAGTCCTTGGGGTATGTTTTGGGTACTAGAACAGGTTCACAGTCTTGCACACGTAGTGCTCAATTAAAGGAGGAGCTCTAATCTTTTAAGCTCCTCTTGGTTCCTTGTGGAAAATACACAAACAAAATTATGAAAAAACACCTGATTTCTCCAAAGTGCTTGACACTGACAGCAGTGTGCACCCATATGTTTTTGTATCGTTATTCCTGTAACCCCCACATATTCTGCATGGATATGTATATTGACTGTCAATGGTACTCTGTTAAAATGATTATTGCACACAGCACAGCCAACTTTTAAATGTAAATTGTATGCAAATATATGCAATGCCATCTTTAATGCAGATGTAGCAAAAAGTATTAAGATGTGTAGAGCCTAATTAGGTCCTACATCAAAAACTACATAGAAAAACATGACTCCAAAGTCTCAGCAAAATAAATGTGAGCTAGAAATCCCAGTGTACGCTCCTAGGGAAGCAAGGGGAGTAACTCTTTCCCTGCAACTTCTAAAGAAGGCAATGAACTCAAACTAACAATTTGTCTGGTTTTTCTTCAGACAAAGCATTTTCTTTTTAAGCAAGACGCAGATATAATGGCATGGAGTCTTCATTCTCTCCTATTCCCTAGTATTTAAAATTATTAAGGAAAGCCTTCATTTTTTATCTAGACTGTACATGAAAATCAGAAGTAGGGACACAAAAATTCCTAGACAATGTAAGCCTCAGCCTAAATAAAGAAGAAAAAATCCCAGAAAACCACAGCTTATTTTTTCTAAGCCAGGGGCTGCTCAACACTGGCCCTGCCAATGGGATTTTGATTACTGAATTCATTGGAATAGAAAAGCATTTGTACACAGCAAATTCCAGAGACAATAATCAACCTCAGGGACTTGCATTATTAATATACTGAAATAAATGAGGCACTTGACAGCCACTGATCAGGTGTACTGCACTGACTGGGATTTCCCCCACATATGCACACTTCTTGGCTTTTCAACACTTCTGTTCCTAAAAAGAGATGGTACTTTTGGGGTGTGACTGGTGAATTCCGCAGAGGGCAAGGACTGCACAGGGGCCTGTGGATTTCCAACAGAAAGGCAACCCATCCTGCATCACATCAAATTGAAAGCCAATGAAGACAGACGTATTTCAAGAAAGGTACAGGTGAGTGCTGTCTCAAATGGAAGACAAGTCTACCATCAGAGACCAGAAAAAAATCTGACTCCAACCCCTTTCCTGAAAGGAAGCAAGTTTCAACTCCAGTTCATGAGCAGAAGTGGAAAAGTCCTAAGACCCACTCCACCCTCCAGAGCTAGCTGAAGAAAAGGACATATGACTCCAGTAAATTCCTATCCCCTTTGAAGAAAGGAGCTAATACCTTCCCTTTCTGCACCAGCATGTACAAACCTTGGCCAACTACAAGCCAGAAGTTCTCATCCATTTTCTCCACCCTACTGTCTCCTCTTATAACACACATTTGGAATCCTCCTTTCGCTGAACTGCTTGGAGGCATCTCCTAACCCCACTCCACAGCTGCCCACAACTGTGCCTTTTCCCAAGTCACTGAATGGGGCTGCCATAATTTGGATATTCAACTGGATTATAAATCTGCAGAAAATTTTATGCTGCTTGCTTCATATCTCTAGTGGCAGTCCAATTTCTCTGAGGAAAGATGCTACAAATTATTCACTGTGAAATATAAAGCTTGCTTTTCATTTTAATTTTGTTCCATTTCTATCACTGAATTTCCTTTATAGCTATGTTTCCAGCATTATAAGAAAAAAACCCGATGCACCACGTCAGCCCAGTCCAAGCCAGACATAACATCCTGCATATGCTGCCCAGGGTATTATAAAAAATGCCTTTCATTTCTCTCCCCCAGCCATCGTTGCTCATCCCATGAGCCAGCAGCACTTTCCAGCAGGCTGCACACTGGAATTCCTGAGCTCTCACATTCCTGCAGAACGAACACAGCTTACTGATCTCACAGAAGGACGGGCTCAGCAAGTGTATTCCTTCCATCTACCAAAAAAATACAGGGTGGAGGCCTGAACTGGCCACACTTCCATTTTTTTCCAGCATTAAAAGATAGCAGCAATCCCTCTCCAAATCCTGTCTAGGCATTGCTTCAGCAGCTCCCTGCTCCACAGCATGCCGCGGGATGGGAGCGGATCTGGGCAGGCTGTAATTACGGAACGCCAAGGAACCATGCTGAGGGTATAAAGGAAAGCAAAGCTGGCCAAGCCCTCATTTCCCAGCACTGACAGAGCAAAGGAGGAAGCAGAGCAGCTTCAGAGAGCGGATCTCGAGGACGGTGGCACCTTCCAGCACAGGCAACACAGCCACCTGGGCTCTCTGATGCCTTTGTACAGATGATTTGCCGTTCCCGCATTCTTGCCGGCACTGCAGCACTGTTCTGAGCCTCCTATTTGAATTAACCAGGCCCAGAGGATAAAACTTTCAAATTAAACACATTCCTACAGGATTTCAGGCTCATTGTGTATGCACCAAGGAAACATAACATCCTAAAAATAATACGTATACAGAAAGAAAGCACATTTTGCAGGCATATTAAAGTAGAATATGAATTATAAGCAAGCTCATGGGAGAAGACATCAGATTCCATGCGAAAAGGAGCTTTTGTAAATAACATAGCATCATTCTTTGTAAGCTATCGCAATTATCATCAGCCATTTAATTTAGCTCACCAATGCCTCTTCTCATTGCTGAACTTGTCCATTTTTCCCCCTCCTGAATTGTAAAGCCCCAGATTTTAGAGTTCAAGCTAACAGCTGTATAGATTACTAATCAAGAGCTAGAACTCAATTTATATTCATTTCACTAGATATATGTCTAAACACCAAGCATGAAATAGCATCTCACCAAGCTGCCATCATTAGAGTACAATATCCAGAAAACACTAAAGCTTTTGTTTAAGAGTTAATTGGTGTCAATGCTATAAGTTTGTGTGTACTGAATCACATTGAAATCTTAATTTGTCACATTAAAAATATTCAAATAATACACTATCACTCCATAAAGATTTTGAAAATGTCACTAAATGCAATATCTGTTTAATTTAGAATATTAAAGCAAAAACTTTAGCATTATTTTTGTGGGGTTTAGCTTTTAGACACAGATTCACAGGGTCCTGGTATTTCAGACTGCTAAATATGACAGAATATTTAAGGGTTTTGCACATTAAGCCAAATGAAAACTTCAAAATCCCTCACTGGAATTAGTAATTTAGCCTCAAGCTAATCAGAGATGTTATTCCAGTAGAACCAAAGTCTTCCAGTTGGCCCTCAGCTTAATTTCACTGATTAAAAAATATTAATTCAAGTCAGTTTGTTTTGCTACAGTCCCCTTACGAGCCAACAGAAGCTGGTACAGAGAAACTACAACCTGAAAAAAAGCCCCAACATTTTGAACATCTGAGAAGCACTTACTCTGTTATCTCTTATATTAACTGATGACTAGCTTTAAACTCAAGTTTGGAACTAATCAGAAGACAGTGAATGGGAAGCTCTTAGTGGCTGAAGCGCTCATTGGAAGAGTTAAGGCTTCTCCTCCCAGCTGTGACAGGAGAAACTCTCACTAGTGACCCCTTCAGCAAGAGCCAGTCATAAGTTCAAGCTTAGGCACTTACACCGTGGTCTCATCTTCAGAAGCATCAGTCAGCTCAGGCTACACAACCAAATACTCACAAGCTGGAAAACTCAGATCACTTGTGGTGCTTCAGCTGTTCCTCCTGATTCTAAAGGTATCCAAATGCATCACACTACATCCAAGAAACATTCTTATGCTAAGACAAATAACAGTCATAAAGTGAAAAAAATTGTAACATCGATAGATGAGAAACAGTGTAATTCCATTGCCACCAAATGTACCCGACCTTTTCCAAAGGTCATTGTTTCATCCAACCTCTTTCTGAAGGGCTTCATGAGGAGTGCCCTGCCCCAGGCCGCAGCTCTTTCAACCATGTCAATGTCCCTTGAGACTCAGAGCTGCCTGTGCCAGGGACTTCAGGGGTGTGGCCTAAAATAAACCAAATTTATGCAGTTCAGGCAGCAGAATGACGAGACATTACATTATAAATATGCTTGGGGGGGAGAGGAAAAAACCAACCTACCAGAGAGATCTGGGCAGAAGTTGGCTTCTGAATGGTACTTCCAGCCCAGTGCTGGGGGTTAAGATTTTTCCTTTTGTTTCCCTCATGGAATTTTGTCCCATCCGTTGCTTAGAGACAACAATGACCAGTACTTAGGAGAGACAGAAGAAATGGTCAAGGTGAGGGAAGGGTGCAGTTGGCTATTCTCTTACTTGGGGGTTTTCTCCTTGGACTCCTGGAGATTGGGCGGGGTGCGGGTGAGGGGCTGGGCTCAGCTCCTCTCCCGCTCCCAACACCGGGCAGGAGACCGGTCGTGGTCACTGTGGGGACAGCTCGCCACCGTTTCGGAGCTCTGTCTCCTGCTGTGAGTGAAGCTGTGCTTCTGGAGCAGCCATTGCACTGGGACTTTATTAACACCCTCCCGCACTAGAAAAGGACCCTCAACATCTACTCCGGTGCCTCAGGAAAAAGCCGGGGCCCCAAACCCCCCCACCCCCTCCAAGGGAGCCTCTCTCAGCTGCATTCGGGAGCCCGGCTGCCATTGCTTCTTCACTACAGTGTAACGCCACACTGCCTGCCTACCGGGATACCCTGCTACAGCTGCAGGTTCTGATACGAAGGTGCTGCTCTGGGATCTGTTCATCCCTGCCCAGCCCGTGCTCGCCATCCATCCCGCCGCCATCGCCCTGAGGGAGCGCGGCCGAGCCACGCCACAGCGCCCCCTGCAGGGCGGGGCCGGAGCCAGCAGCGCCCCTGGCGGCCGTGCCCGGAACTGCAGGCAGGGCAGCGCGCCGCAGCCGGAGCGGGCCGGGATCGGGGCCGGGATCGGGGCCGGGCTCGGGGCCGGGATCGGGGCCGGGCTCGGGGCCGGGATCGGGGCCGGGATCGGGGCCGGGATCGGGGCCGGGATCGGGGCCGGGATCGGGGCCGGAGCCGGGCTCGGCTTTGCACACACACGCACTGGGAGGAACTGCTTTTCCCCTACCTCTGCATGAAAGCCCCTGAATTTCTACGTTATAATAATTGGGAGAGAAGGGGGTTATATTTTTTTCCATTCCAAGGGAGGTTCTCACCCAGGAACAGACCCAGAATGAAAGATGCAAACCCTTTACAGAGATCCAAAATTTACACTCAGCTGTGTCCACTGAAGTGTCATCTAGGCACACTGGACCTGCACATATGTGAATAAAGTCTCTCTAACCACAGTTAACAATCAACATTTTTGTGTCTCTCTCAAAAATTATAATATTTTTTCCAGATGTTTAAACCTGGGTATTGGGTTGAATTGATTGGTTTAAAGCCTTGGCCAGAAGAACCACTTCTGCACTGACACAGAACTACAGGAAGAGAATTATCTGACTAGCTGCTTCCAAATTTTTCTTTTTACCAGTCTTTTTTTTTTCCCCAGAAAAATAGATAAAATAGATTGTTTGAGGTATCTCACAGGTTCTCAGACTCCAAGTATCTCATACCCAAGACAAAACATTAATTAAAGAAGTGATTAGGGAAACATATACCTCTAATTCTACAATCCACACTGTGGTATCTACAATGCTTCCAATCTCAGCAATCATGCATAACCCTTTATAAACTATCAAAAATAAGAAAGTGAGATGAATCTAAAGCAAACACTATAGCAACACCCAGAGTCAAATACAACAGCAAACACTTTTAGCTATTCTTTAACTAGAGCATGGCAACACTGAAGCTGTGAATAGGCACTAGAAGCATGTACAACACTGCATCTCATAAACCTTGGACTGACGTGATCCCATTCCCTCACAGAGCTCCAGCCCTTGACATCAAAGAAAAATCACTGCCTCCTATGGCACTACCTGCAAAGAGGACCAGCCATGCAGTGCCTCAATCGGCCCTCAAAGTCTGGGAAAACTCAATTCCAGCAGTGCCTGGCATTGCCTGACAGTTTTTCTACTAGCAGCTGTAATTATCTGTGGGGCAAGAGAGGGATACAGCAAAATACACAAGACTCATGGAAGGACATTTCCAAAGCCTTACCGGGAGTTCTAGTGACCAGCCTTTGTACACAAATAAATCCAAGCCATAGCCAATGTAATGTGAGCCTACAAGCAATGCCTTGATTTAGTCCTTTTAGATCAAAGCCTTGAGCCCATTTTGCACACACTAAAAAAAAAAATTCAAAATCCTGATGCCAAAGATGCTCCGTGTTCACAGACAGACCTTGTAGCCATCTGATCTGAGTTAATGCCCACTGACAGACTGGAGTACAAAGGGACAAAATTGATACAAGACAGGTTCATGCAAACCAAGCCAACCTGTGAGGGCAGCACAGCCCAGTCCTTCCTCTGGAAACAGGAACTGGTGAACACAACACACTGCACTGCCCTAGGTCTGGCTTAGAGGCAGCCCACTGCATTGATCTGTCAGCAATACATTGTTTAAACATTGATATCCCCACCCTTATTGTGCAGCATCTGCACAAAAACCAGCATTCCCTTTATGTTTTCACTGAAAGGGACTTGTCCATGCATACATGTACATGTGTGTGCATGCTTGTTTGTGCACAGTCCCAGAGGAGATGCAAGGATTTGGAGGGTGGAGCAGCAGGCAGAGTTTCCATTGCACGGTGTTACACAACCATATTGCCCACATTTAGTTCTATTTTTAACTCAAGGATGAAGACTTATCAAATGCCAGTTAAAACCTGTAACTTATGGATAGCTTTAAGGACATACTAGAATACATAAACACTAACAGCAATCACATAGATGAGCTGGACTATATACAGATCATGGAATGGAGATTCTAGATAATAATTCAGTTCCCTTTAATAAAGGCAAATCTTTAATTCTTGTGGTTTGAATAAATAGCTGGAGCAATAGTAAAGCTAAAAAGCCTTAATTCTGTCTATAATTTAAGGCAGATTTTGGACCAATGTCCTCAGTCTACATCACAGCAACCACAAAACAGACCTTAAAAACTACCTGCTCAAGAAACTTGCACTACATCTTGATAGGGAATTTATTCTTTTATTCTGTCTTCCCAACAGGCAGTTTCTGTTTTCCCAATCATACAAAACTGTGAATATAACATAACCACTCTCTTCCTCAGCAATGTCCTTTAGTCCTAGAATAACAATGCTGCACTGAAAAGGAAGAAACAGAAAAGGGAAAATAAAACTACAAAAAAACCCCAACAACAACTACCAACCAACAAAAATAAAAAACATAGCCAAAAAACCCAACAAAAAATATCAAAACAAACAAACATGCACAAAAAAACCAAGCTGAAGCATTTCTTTGGCATTTTCGCTCCCTAGCAAGAAAGACAGTCAAGTAAGCCAAAAGGAGCATCTGGATTTGAAGTCAATATTGCACCAGAACATATGAAAACACCAATGCAGAAAAATACAATGCCTAGATTACTAGAGGAAAATGATTATTTATGGGGTACAATAGCAAGAAAAGTTTTTGTTTTTCTTTATTCTCCAGTGCTTAGTGAGTTCTGCTGGCAGCTTCTCAGTCTCTCCCCGTAAGCTTGCTTGCATACTTATTGCATCTGCTTCTCATTTAATGACCATTGTTTTGGTCTGTCAGAAGAACTACAACAAGTATCCAAATCTGCAAGATTAGGCAAATATTTTGACAATGCTGTGCGTCTCATTTTCTTGGAGAGAAAGAATAAAGAGGATTTTCACTTTTCACATAACTTCACTGGAGCTCTTAATCAAAATGCTACAGAGAATCAAATAGCAGATTGAACATACTTCTAGTGACAAAATAAAGCATGCCATTTTGTTTCCGAGAGCTTGCCAATTCCCTGCACATTGCTATCACAAGAACTCAAACACAGGACTTCAAAATATCATTCACATCACATGGCAGCTGTTTCTAAGCTGAGAAACCAACAGAGCCAGGGAGCACCAAATGACAACTAAATGATAATGTAGGCTATCAGGAGGCTCTGGAGGAAAAAAGGAAAAAAAAAACAAAAGAAAGAAAAAAAAGCTGGTACCAACCCTAGGCTTTTACCCTGGGAGTGCTGCTCGTTCTCTCTGTTGAGGTTTTTGTTTGACTTGCTGCAATAACAAATATTCATAAAATGTAAATTCACATCCAGATGCTAGAGCTCAAGTCTCATGTCAACGCTAATATTCCAAGTAGGGCCCTGCATGTATTCTAAAGGTAAACACAACCAGCCCCGACTCAACTAATTATGGACTGTAAATCAGGCCTGGATCAAGCAGAGCTACAATTGAAATACATTACTAGAGGAGCTGAGTATATTGAGAAGCCAGCAGTAGCAGTCACTTGGCAGTAAAGGAGGAGAGCTCACTTAACACACTCATTGAGAAACAGGAAAGCAAATGCTCTGAGGAGGGACAAAAACCAGGGCTACAGGTTTTACGAGGCACTGGTGTCTCACAAACCTTACATTTTGTTCAGTTTTTCTAGGGCTGCTTTTCTCATGTGTCCTTCCAAGGACCAGATCTTCTGGAGCTCTGAGTTTAGGCCAGCTGCAAGGCAGTCAACAAGTTAAACATCCTAAATGGCAAATAAGGATTCTCTGTGCTGCTGCCTCTGACAGGCCACTTTCTATGCTGTCAGGGAAAAGAAACCACTTGGGACCTAGTGGCCTCTGTAAGGAACATCCCATTAAGGACCCAAACACACGAGGAAATTGGTTAAGCTATGAACTTGCTTCTACTTGCAGTTACAAGAGCTCATCTGGGGAGTCAAAATCAGAGAGGCCTTTTTCTCGTAGAACTTCAGAACCACCTCTGTTCAGCCTGTAAATCCTTCTACTCTGCTTCTGGCAGGGAAAGAATTATTTACTGTAAGGAGATGGCTTAGTTTGGTACTTCCCACATTTTCTGAATCAACTGACAGCTACTTTAGACATATATGAAAAAACTTTTTGCTCTGAACGCTTCACAGCCAGCCAAGATTATATCCAAGAATATGCACAACTTCCTTTTGGACTTCTTTTACACCTTTCCATCTTCATTACAAGAGAGCTTTTAATTAAAAAAGCCAAGTTTGGCCAAGCTCACCTACCCATGGAAAGAAGAAAAAAAAAAAAAAAATTACTATAGAAAAAAATTCCTCTATTTTTCCCATTGGATGGTTGGTGTTACCTCAACAGCAACATGGGAAACACTTGCTGACCACCACAGCTGGCAGCCACAACTTTCTGTGCCTCCAGAAAGTGTCTGCTGCAAAGGCTTGAGTGAGGACAGAAATTATCCTCTCAGTCACTGTCACACATGACAGGCCAGCTGGTCACTGGTTCCATCAGCCACACTTCAATCTGTGAACAATCTCTGTGGAACAGTCAGGTCAAGAGAGACTGCAATTGTAGAAGC